GCACACGCACACGCACACGCACACGCACACACACACACACACACGCACACGCACACGCACACGCACACGCACACGCACACGCACACACACACACACACACACACATATATATATACACATACGCTCCCCACCCAACCACCAATTCCAAACCTTCAACCTACTCGACTGCGTTTCGAGAAGATTCTTTGAATTTACTGAGAGCCGTATTCGTGCTATATTTATTGTTTCATACCGGCAACGTTCATGTCGAGTCCGAGTCAATCTCGAGTTGATGAGAATTGGCACATGGTGTGTATAACGATGACACGCACGACGTACAGGAAATGATCACAAATTCTTTCCTACAGATTACCACGGTTAGTGTACTGTACAACAATGACGACGAAAATGCACGAAATCGTCTGCAAGAGACGGTGCCGCTCCTTCCCAAATCCCAGCAATACAATAACTATACCACACGGTGGCTACGATCGGTAAACGGCGCGGTGCACAGCCTGGTGGCGCTGAAATAGCGTCCGCTTCGCCGACGTGTCGAATCACAACGCTTGTTTTTCCCTTCTGATGAAACGTATGACAGGAGGTCAGCACTCAACGGCCATGTTGTTTCTGCAGCAATTAGGGTGTACCCCGTTTAGTTCTCTCCATTGTAAGGCATCACTTCGTTGCAGCTGCCGTTGCCGTGGTGATCTCCGCCCGGCTGCCGGGCATCAGCCTGTCGAAGAGGAGGGCGAGCATGTCGCAAGCCTGAAACAAGATGGATGTGTGTCAAACGAAGATCTGGATCGTTCATACGGCATGCAGATCCTCTGCCACTAACCCCGTACAGCAGGCAGATCCTCTGCCACTAAACTTGTATGGGATGCAGATCCTCTGCCACTAACCCCGTACGGGATGCAGATCCTCTGCCACTAAACATGTATGGGATGCAGATCCTTTGCCACTAACCCCGTACGGGAGGCAGATCCTCTGCCACTAACCCTGTATAGGATGCAGATCCTCTGCCACTAACCCCGTACGGGATGCAGATCCTCTGTCACTAACCCCATATGGGATGCAGATCCTCTGTCACTAACCCCGTACAGGATGCACATCCACTGCCACTAACCCCGTACGAGATGCAGATCCTCTGCCACTAACCCCGTACGGGATGCAGATCCTCTGCCACTAACCCTGTATATGATGCAGATCCTGTGACACTAACCCTGTATGCGATGCAGATCCTCTGCCACTAACCCTGTATGCGATGCAGATCCTCTGCCACTAACCCTGTATGCGATGCAGATCCTCTGCCACTAACCCTGTATAGGATGCAGATCCTCTGACACTAACCCCGTATGGGATGCAGATCCTCTGACACTAACCCCATACGGGATGCAGATCCTGTCACTAACCCCGTACGGGAGGCAGATCCTCTGTCACTAACCCCGTACGGGATGCAGATCCTCTGCCACTAACCCCGTACGGGATGCAGATCCTCTGCCACTAACCCTGTATAGGATGCAGATCCTCTGCCACTAACCCCATACGTGGATGCAGATCCTCTGCCACTAACCCTGTATAGGATGCAGATCCTCTGCCACTAACCCCATACGAGATGCAGATCCTCTGCCACTAACCCCGTACAGGAGGCAGATCCTCTGTCACTAACCCCGTACGGGATGCAGATCCTCTACCACTAAACTTGTATGAGTTTCGACGAGATTATCACTCACTGCCCTGGAGCTATATATAAATTCAGCAATAAACCTTTACACATTCCACCAACCTATTGTAGATAAGCACAGTCACACACATATACGCACACACATGCACGCATGCAGACACACACAAACGTAACCCTCTTTCTTTCTAACGAAGCATAGGGCCTGTACAAACGATTTTTCCTCAATAAAGGCTTCTGGGACAACGTTTTTTATATGGTGGGGTGTTAGCCCCATGCACAACCCCCAAACCTCAAGGACCAGAGACTGTTTGGTGTGTAACTTACGCACACGCACGCATGTACCCACGTGTGTGCACACACCCAAGTGTTTTATGCGCGTCTCCCAGCTGTTCTCATCTCCTACGCGCGAGCGAGCCAGCCCAGTGCCGAGGTGACACACGTACCTGAGCAGTTGTTTTCGGCCGCAGAATCAACTTGCAGTAGTCGACGAGCACCGAGTCACTGGCGCCATCTCTCAGGATCTGAGTGAAACAGCTGACGGCGTTGTCACGCTGCACTGCCAGCAGCAAGCACGGTCCTCGCGCCAGCAGCGCCACCTGTCAGGGGAAACCATCGTAGTTAGCATCATGGTCGAGGTCATAGTTAGGATCAGCGTTAATGTTGGGGTCATCACCGCACGCACGTACAGTTAGTGTTAGGATTAGTGGTAGGTTCATGGCTAGTGTTAGGGTTTGTGTGCAGGTCACGGGTTAGTAATAGTATAAGGGTTAGGGTCAGTATTAGGTTCATGGTTAGCATCAGTGTTCCTACCAGTAGTAGTATTAGGATTATGGTTAGCAGAGATGCGAGACGAGGTTAGGGTTAGGTTCATGATTACGGTTAGGGTTAGGGTCAGTATTAGGGTTATTATTAACAATAGTGTTAGGGGCAGTATTAACCACTACGCACTAGGAGTAATATTAGGGTTACGGTTAGCGTAAATGTTTGGGTTAGGATCAGGTTCACGATTACGGTTAGGGTTAGGATAACTGTAATCGTGAACTCGATCCTAACCCAAACATTTACGCTAACCGTAACCCTAATATTACTCCTAGTAGGATTAATACTATTAAGGTCCTATAAGGTCCATAATTAAGGTCCTTAATACTCCTATTAAGGTCATGGTTAACAATAGTGTTAGGGTCAGTATTAACCACTAGGAGTAATATTAGGGTTACGGTTAGCGTAAATATTTGGGTCAGGTTCACGATTACAGTAAGGCTTAGGGTCAGTATTAGACTCATGGTTAGCCTCAGTGTTAGGGTCAGCGTAAATGTTCGGGTTAGGTTCATGACTACGGTTAGCATTAAAGTCCGTGCGCACGTACCAGCTTGTCGTCTCTCAGCTCGCAGGTCTTGACGAGGCGCGCTCGCTGCGGCTCCGACAGCCGCGTCATCCTTGCGCCGACGAGTGAGAAGCGTTGCCGCTGCAGCTCCTCGACGACCTGCACGTACGGGGCGGGCTTCACTGCAGCTCCAGGCGCCGGCACGAGCGGGGGCAGCAGCACGAGGCAGGACACCTCCACCAGCGGCGACGCGTGCAGACAGCCTGCAGAGACAGCGAGAGTACAGACACGGCCAGCAGCATGCACCCACAGTCACCAATACATCCACACACTCTCACACCTGCACTCATTTATACACCTGTCATTAGCTGTACATCTGCACTCATCTGTGATTACATGTACACCTGCACTCATCTATACACCTGTCATTACCTGTACACCTGCACTCATCTATACACCTGTCATTACCTGTATACCTGCACTCATCTATACACCTGTGATTACCTGTACACCTGCACTCATCTACACACCTGCAGTTACCTGTACACCTGTGCTTACCTGGCTCGGGCGGCAGCACGGTACACGCGCGGGGCGACGAGGTACACGTGGCGTCCTCTGTCTGCTCGGCGACGCCCGCGCGTGACATCTCAGCCGTCGCTCTGCAGCAGACGCCGTCCGGGAAGAACAGACGCACGGCCGTCGTCGCTGACGCGTAGCTGTCGGGAGCTGTAGCAACGGCGAGCGAGGAAGAGAGACAGAGACAGACGGTGAAGTACAGCGAGAAGGTTGCCTATGCTGCGCGGTAACTGTGGTGTGCAATCAGTAATGTGCGCGCATGCGCGTGCCATGCAGTGTAGTTTCACGCCGGTGCGCGCTACGTCTGCGTTGTACCATGTGTGCACGTTGGCGTGCCTGCGTCATGTGTACGTGCTAGTTATGCGATGGTGTTGTCATTGTTGCTGCTTGTTGTTGTCGGTGTTGTTATTGTTGCTGATCGTTGCTGTTGGTGTTGTTTGTTGTTGTTGGTGTTGTTTTCAGTATTGTATGTGTATGTGCGTGCGTATATGTGCATGTCTGCCTGTTTGCATAAGTGTGTGTGTGTGCGTGTGGGTGCGAGTATGCATACCTGAGTGCGTGTGCACGCACATGCACGCAAGTGTGCGTTTGCACGTGTGTGCGCATGTGCATGTGTGCAAGTGTGTGCATGTGTGCAAGTGTGTGCGTGCGTACATGTGTACGTGTGTGAGTGCGAGCATGTGTGCATTCATGTGGGTTTGCGCACTCACCATAGAAGGCATTGGCGACGCTGTCCTTGCCGTACAGGGAGCGCCAGAAGCAGGGGCTATAGGTGCGTGCTCGCGCCGGGTCCGTCGGCCCCACGAGGTCGAGCATCTTCTTTACGGCGTTGACGCGCTGCACTGCAAGCGCGAGACAAGGCCCCGAAGCCAGATGCTGCAGATGCTGCTCCTGTAACCATGGATACAACGCTCGTTAACGAGCAACACATCGTTAACTACAATGGCTGCAGCTCCTGTAACCGCGGACACAGTGCTCGTTAACGAGCAATGCATCGTTAACCACAGTGGCTGCAGCTCCTGTAACCACAGACACAGTGCTGATTAACGAGCAATGCATCGTTAACTACAGTGGCTGCAGCTCCTGTAACCGCGGGCACAGCGCTCGTTAACGAGCAGCATCGCTGTACTCACGTGTGAGACGTCGCGCGGTGATATCGCGTCGGCGAGTGCCGGCGGCAGCATCTCCAGCCGCAGCGCGATGACGGTGAAGCCACTGAGGCTGAGCTTGCGCAGCAGCCTGCCCGCGTGTCTCTCTGCAACGCCTGGCTTCAGCACGAGCAGCGACGTCGCAGCGACGGGCGGCACGAGCATCGACGCCAGCACGTGCTCCTCTCCCGCTGCCGACACCGCGTCGCCGCACAGCTCCCGCCCGCTGCTCGGCGGCGCCACCTGTAGGAACGGAAGATTACAGTGTTCTCTAATAAATCTCATAATAACAGATACTTACAGATAATTATTATAGGTAATTACAGATAATTATTATAGGTAATTACGGATAATTATTATAGGTAATTACAGATAATTATTATAGGTAATTACAGATAATTATTATAGGTAATTACAGATAATTATTATAGGTAATTACAGATAATTATTATAAGTAATTACAGATAATTATTATAGGTAATTACAGATACTTATTATAGGTAATTACAGATAATTATTATAGGTAATTACAGATAATTATTATAGGTAATTACAGATAATTATTATAGGTAATTATTATAGGTAATTACAGATAATTATTATAGGTAATTACAGATAATTACAGATAATTATTATAGGTAATTACAGAGTCGTACTCGTGAAGGAATTTGCCGGTGCGTCGCGGTGCCATCCCCCATGTGTCTAGGAGTATAGACGTTCTCGCTAGTGTCAGGGTTCTGACAGAATTTTGTAATTACCCACAATGCAACGCCGCCGGCCATGACGGTTCCAGAAACCAGTTCAAGCATGGTACAAGTAAATTGAGCAACGCACCTCTGCTCATTTTATTCGCCTATTAAGCAAGTCCATCACAACGCCACTCTCTCTGCGGTGTTGTCAACTGCAGCAATCGGTATCAGAGAGAGCCACACAGCTTTTTTAGACTGCCTAGCGTGATCACAACACAAGGTAAAGTGACGAGAGACCAGGCGGACCACAGACACTTGGAGCATTTTCAATAAAAAAGCGATGGTGAATAAACACGAAATGTATTTACTACCAATGTCTTAATGTTTCTCTACTCTCTTTCGCCTAGTATTGCCGATAATTACCTGTAAATGCCGGTCAAATGCTCCTCTGCAACACACAGGTACACCGCACGCACGGCGCACGCCGCTACACATTTACACTTATATACATATATCGCCGGCACCCAGTAGGCAGCTGTTTGAGTGGGGGTGGTGATTAATCTTACACGTGCAGCATACTCTACATAAAATATCACCGAGGCAACATGTGAACAGAATTCACCAAACCCGGCTTTACAATTTTACAATTACAATTACGGCTAGAATGTTAGGTAGTCAATTCACGAGATCCAAATAAGTACATGATGGGCACAAGTTGTGGTCCTCGCTCCATTCTCGTAC